GCCTCATTTTCCCTCTGTGTAGCCCCTTGGAATTGACACATCAAAGTATTTACTCAATTTTCGGTTTTGGTTTTGTCCCTATATGGTGCCTCTTCTTGTCACTTGTGGCTTCACAAGGGTCATTTTCTCTCTTGCCTTTGCACCCAAAGTCCCAGGATCCCAGGCTAGGTCCCTACTTGTTTGGGAGAGTGGGAGGTTTGGACACAGCTGACTGACCAAAAGCACAGAGGCACACTGGGGAGGCATCAGTTGTCCCTGTTTCGCTGGATTAGGTAGAGCCCAGTGACCCAGATGAGTCCCCTAAGAGCAACCTCACCTCATTACATAAGCTTCCAGTAATCTAAAATAATGGTTTTGTTCCCAAAAGAGTGTGTGTGTGTGTGTGTGTGTGCGCGCGCGCAGTGGGGATATGTGTGTGCATGTTTCTAGTCATTTGGGTAAAAATAGGAATGTTACACTTAGATGGTAATAAATGTGAAGCAGAGCACTTAACTTCTCACATGGCGCAAATGGCTGAACAGAAGCCCTGAGTCGTCTTTATGGAACATAGGTTCAGTGAGAGCTACAGTAATAGTGTTTAGTTAACATCAGCTCAGAATTAAATTTACATTATACTCTTGTGAAGAAGTTCCAACATTATCTGTTAAATAACCAAGGCAGTACCTGGCTGATGTAGACTTTTTGATTTTGCACGTGAACTAACACTGCAGCTTACTGATGAGGGATCACATGAGCTTGAAAATTTGGTGTGCCAAAGGATTCTTTGTATGAATAAAAATTCTGGTCAGTGAAGGTCAGTTTCTCTACTCAAGCGAGAATTATGTTGTTTCCCTTCTAATCGGACACACACAGTGTTTGAAGAATCCAGGAGCTCTGTACAGGTGATGTGCAGCCATAGCCTGGGCAGCTCCTCATGCAAGAAATGAATAATCTTTAATAAAGACTCAAACGACCCTGGCTTCTTTCTGCACTGTAATCAGTTGCCTTAATGGTGTGCCCTTCGGTGCTTTGCAGGGAAAATACTTAAAAGTTATTTTTCTTACCTTGCCTCAAGGAGGGCTGAATTGGTCCAGTCAGTCCTCCTTCCATGTTGTATTTGACTCTGTCGTAAAGACCACTGAAGTCAGCCTCAGTTTTATTGAAAGGCCAGCATTCCCTTTCTCTTTCAGGGTGATCTGTGCCTCTAAGGGACACTGAACTTGAAACAGCAGGAGTCACCATCTTTATAAAGTTAGGCTGTGGAATTTGTTTTAAGCACATTCTAAATCCAGTCTTATGCCTTTTGCTTTTTTTTTTATTTTAGTCTGTGACAAAGGTGACCCAATTGTGCTTCTTTGATATTATGAACACAGCTCTATTTGCTCATATCATAGAAGCATATAACAAAATATGAAGGATAAAATCATGTCTGTGTGTGTAGTAAGGACACATTTCTTGACTAAATTCAATGACATAATCAAAAAAGTGTCTTCTCATAGTCATGAGCTAACAGGCAGAGACCACGTTTCAGGATATTTTTTATAGTGCTGAGATACTGTTCAAAAATAATAGAACTAATGAAAATGTCACATTGACAGAGTAGCCCATATTAAGATTTTACTTCAAGAAGACATGATTCGGTGAATGTGACATTGACAGCAATGGTGTTAGGGTTTACAGAGTTAGTAAAACGTTCTAAGAAGAATATTACAGAGTTCCCACTGAAGTATATCATTTTTTATTTTATATTTTTCTTTTCTAAGATCAAGCAAACATCAGGAATTAAGAAATTTTAGCATATTACCTGCCTAGAAGAGGTATGAGGAGCATTTTCTTTCTATCAGACTCTAATATAATTTTATAATACAGTGCTTCCAAAGAAGTAAGTTAATTTAACAATATGATAAAATATGCATATCTTTGAGTATTTAAAAATATGCAGGTAGTAACATTGTGTAATATGGATGCATTTCTCACTAAACAGATGTGCTATGTTTAAGCAATTTATAATGTGTAAAAAAGTAGAAATGGAAAATAATAGTGGAAAAGAGAGCTAGTTACAAACAGAATAGTTGTAGCATCACTGAAGGCTTTACTTAGCTCTGTGGGTTGGTTGAACAAATACTGCAGCAAGTCTGGAATGAATAGCAACTCTGCTTACTATGACAGCTTTTATTTGTCTTGGGTGCAACCAAGACCACATGCCGTGTTTTGTCATGTTGGAAGTACTGAACCAGATTTCCATTGTGAGTTTAAATTTTTTAAAAAAGCTTTAACATATCAGTCTCAACTTAGGCAGGTAAAAGCAAGGTTTTCCTTATCAGCCAGATATCAATAAATCTTAAACCCTTCACCAAAAGCATGTAGCTGCAGTTCACTGCCCTGGTTGTAGTCAGGTCACCACCACAGATGGCCTAATCCTTCTCATTTCCAGGGACCTTCAATAAGGCTAATTTTTCTGTAATAAAGCTAATTTTTCTGCCTTTAATAAAGCTAAGTTTTAATTTTCTTTCTCCTAGAAGAGTGTGTCACCATTAGCATAGAGACTTTCCAAACCCCATGATGTGTAAGTTTCTACCTAGAGCAAGCATGACTAACAATTCTGTACCTCCTCCCCACTTTTATAGCCTGTGGAGACAAAGCTGTGTTTAGAAGGTATGTCTTCAGCTACATGTACCTATTGGAAAATTGTTCATCCTGCTGAATTTATAGAAATATGTATATACCAGTGATTAACACTTTGTTGAGAGTAGCAGAGAATATTATGAAATTGTTTAGATCCACTTTCTACCTTGGAATAACTGGATAACAGATCCTTGCAAAATTCTTACCATATCCCTTTTTTATTCATTTATCAGGATCATTTAATTGGGAGAGAGATCCAAGTAGACATGGAAGAGTAAGGGCTGAAGAGTAAGGGAATGATCATTGTTTTATTGGATCAGTATCCAATCTTTTTGTCCAGTGGTCTTTAATCTAGTGTGATACAGGTTGGTGGTTTTCTCTAAAGTCATATCATTTTGTTTGAAATGAATTTAAGGCTAATCTTATACTGAGGAGCCTGCTTGGCAGTGAAGATTAGCATTTAATTAATATAGTCGTGCTCTGTGGAGCAGAGGAGGGCAAGATTTGAGGTGGTGGTGAAGGGGTTAGAACCAGCTGCAGTACCCCAGCCCAAAATTTTGTGGGTACCCTGAGGAACACTGATAATTAGTTATTATATATATTAGGCCCAAATAGTGACTGCTGTACATACTGAGTATCTAATCAGGGTTAGAGATGAGATTAAAGAAGGTGAGAAAAACTCACTTCAGTGCTTTTAACATCCGAAGAAATGTTTTAGCACCTGTTGTATGCCAGGTTCATTGTGGGTACTTGGAGATACTGGGGTGAACAAGTACCTGTTCGTATAGAACTTGCACTGTAGTGGAGAGGACATAAATAATTCTAGATAGTAAAGGGCAAATGAAAGCTACTGCAAGGTGTAAGGGCAGGGAGTGATGGGCTAACATTGGTAAGTTTGTCACTGTGACCTCTCCAAGTCGACAATATGAGGCCCAGGTCAAGTGAGAAGAGGCTACTTCAGAGCCTTTCATACAGAGGTAAAGCAAGTGCAAAACTGAGGAAGAAATGATATTGGGCATTCAAGGAACAAAAAGAGAAACTTTGCAGTTGCAACTTGCCAAGGCAAGGGAGGGGAAAGTGATAGATGAAGTTGCAGAGATACAGTAAAGCAAAGTTAAAAAATGGATGATCTCAGGAATTCGTTTATACACGGTACTGGGAATACTGATAAATGACAAAGCCAACAGTGCACATGTGTTTTTAAAGTGAAATTATAATATTTATATTTTTAAGGACAAAGCTGGAGACTCAGTAGAATAACTAGGAATAAACAGAATGATTGTAGCATCACAGAGGACTTATGTCTTATGTTGAGCAAAGTAGCAGGATGAGGAAGCCTCAAAGCCTAGTGTTTGAGATGCTGTAATCACCAAGCTGTTCTTATTGGAATATCTCCAGTAGAAACACTAGTATATTTGTATATGAGGTTTTCAAAAGTTATGACAATCTCCTTTTAAAATACTGCTTAAGCAGTTGAGAAGATTTTTTTCTGACAAGGTAGCTCAGCCTGATTTTCTCCTGTATTTCCTCTAAGTACTGTATAGCTTTGTGTTTTCTTATGTCTCACAGTGGAGAAGCATAGGTCTCATAAGAGATAGTCTGAGCCTTTACCTGGGGATTTGTGCTGCTTATTCATTGTTTCTTTCTCTTTTTTCTTTTTTTGTTTTTTTGAGATAAGGTCTCATGCCCATCGCCCAGGCTGGAGTGCTGTGGTCCAATCACAGCTTACTGCAGCTTCAACTCCCTGGGCTCAGGTGATTATCCCACCTCAGCCTCCTGAGTAGCTGGGACTACAGGTGTGCACCACCAGACCTAGCTAATTTTTTGTATTTTTAGTAGAGATGGAGTTTTGCCATGTTGCCCAGTCTGGTCTTGGACTCCTGGGTTCAAGTCATCCGCCCGTTTTGGCCTCCCAAAGTGCTGGGAATTACAGGTGTGAGCCACAGCACCTGACCCTCATTGTTTTCTTTACCATGGCAGTGGCTAGATGTTATTGAATGCTTGCCAATATAATAAGCTATCCATGTGAATTAACCATCTCAGGAAACCTCCACATCTTAGGGGATCATCAAGATGCTGGCAAAATCTGCACATGAAATTTTGTATTCAAATTAACAAACCCATGCAGTTTACTTACAGAAACCAAGTGATTAGGCACACAGCTAATTCATAACTAGGGATTTTTTTCTATTCTAAATTATGTTTTGTTTGGAATACAGTGAATGTTGAGACATCAGAGAGGCTTGCCAAGTTTCTAGGTCTTTCCAACACTACTGGACTTGAAGAAACAATTCTGAAGCCTTCAAATTCCATCATAAGCTTGCAAATTGCTGTTCATATTGTAAGGAGCAAAGTCTAGGGTACATAAGTTAACTGCTTTATTTTTCTTTTGGCAGAATTAAGATGCTTTTGTTTCAAGGAAATAGCATGCAACTTGCCAGATCCTCCTTTGGACTCTTCTTGAGAAACTTCTCTGCCTCTAAGACAGCTCTGCCTGTGCTGACCTTATTCACAAAGGTACAAAGTGAAAAAGTAAAATTGTTGGGTAAAGAAAGTTGTACATTTAAGAAAAGCAGACAAAAATTGAAAGGAAAGACAATGGAATAAACTTTCTTCAGACCTGATCTTCAATTTTTCTATCAGCACACCAGCAGCAACTCTGTTTTCTACCCATGTACCTCATTATCTTCCAATTATCAGAGGGTAAATTAATGTATTTAATGGTCATCTGACTGCTGAAAAATAAGTTATGATGTTTAAAAATGTATCATTTAGAAATACAATCAGTTATCTTTATTTGTGGTAGTTATGTTCTATAAAGTCACCATGAACACTGAATTAGTGAATATTGAACTATTGCCCCTAGGGGAAGTACACAGTTAGGTTCCTGTGAGTCTCTGGTCACAATGTTTTCATTAGCCTACCAAATACAGAACCTCATTTTATGTGTGATTCTGTTTAAAGATTTGTTATTTATATATATGCAACTTGGAATACTATGTAGCCATAAAATAGATGAAATCATGTCCTTGCAGCAACATGGAGGCAATTAGAGGCCATTATCCTAAGCAGATTAACACAGGAACAGACAACCAGATGCCACATGTTCTCACTTGTAAGTGGAAGCTAAACATTGAGTACACATGCACACAAAGAAGGGAATGATTAGACACCAGGGCCTACTTGAGGGCGGAGGGTGAAGATCAAAAAACTCAGTATCCAGTGTATGCTAACTACCTGGGTGACAAAATCATTTGTATACCAAACCCCAGTGTTATGCAATTTACCCATGTGACAAACCTGAACCTGCAATAAAAGTTGAAAAAAAATTTTTTTAATAAATATCTTATTTAATATATATTGTTGATTCATTAACATTAAACTCACAGCCAGTAACACCTGTGTATAACTCATGCCTAAATGAAGCTTATTGAACACATGTATTTTCTCCATGAGGCACATCACAGTCTTCTTGTGCTTAGGAACACTAGCCAGCACTTCAGCACTATGCCTGGGGGCTTATTTAAACAGTGAAATCACCAATAAAAAGCACAGAAATGCAAAAAATCCTAACACTGTGCAGACCATGAAAAGGACGCTAGCTTACGTTTACAGTATGAAAGCTAGAACAAGAAAGCAGAGCATCACCTTGTTTGACCTCAGCTTTGAATAAGTGCTTTTTTTTTTTTTCACCACTTGAAATAAGTGGTGAAATCTCTTACCACTCTATGCATGCACATGTCTGTGAATACCTGCAAAAGCGCTTCAAGTATTGATTTCGGGGTTGCAAAGAAGTTTTAGCAATTAGGCAAATTCATAAATTTGGAATCCATAAATAATAAGGACTGATTGTACTTGTTTTCTTATCCCTAACACTAGTTTTAAGCCATAAAGCTAGTTTTAAAATGTTTAAGAGCTTCGTCTTTCTGAAATTATAATACAGACGTTACTGATTTCTTTTTTTGCTAGTTAACATCACTGTGTATGATTTATCAAAAAAGAAATAAAGTGAAGGTTAATAGAAGTAACTTTGGTGAATAATACTGCAATTCAAACAAAAAAAAATCTCTTTTCAATAGGTTTTTCAGATTTCAGGCATTTTAGCAATTTGGAAATATATGACAGTTGTCTAATAACAAAGTTTAATGAGTTTTTAAAAATGAATTCATTGATGAAAATATTTAATCTAAACTACTTTTTATATCGGTAAGTATATATTGCACTGTTGGAAATTATGGAACCAAAAATACTTCATCATCTGAGAGTCTATGATGGGAAACTCATGTGTGAACCACAGAAATTAAATAATCCCTTAAGGCTGGTGTTGCTCACTAGGCCTAACAGTTCCGCACTGTTTTTCAGTTTGGGCCCCAGCTAATGTAGCCGAAAACATTTGTTAAAAACAAAACAAAACCCCACCACACCAATTTTCCATTCAGCTTAATATTTATATTTAATGTTTATTCTATACCATTAGGTACCATAAGAAGATGGCACTCCTACCTTTGGCAGCTTATAATCCAGTGAAGTAAATGCCTAAAAGTACAGTATCAGATCTCTGTCAATTATGAAAAATAGAAAGTATTTCCTAGAATGAGTTAAACAAAAAGATTTTGGAGTTGGTCTGGCTTCGGGAATAGCTTGAATTTGGTACTAAACATGTTACCAATCTCTTCAGCTTCGCGTCCTTGGGGCTAAATCCCCTCTGGTTCTCATGTGACATGGTTTGGCTCTGTGCCCCCACCCAAATCTCATTTTGTAGCTCCCATAATTCCCACAGGTTGTGGGAGGGCACTTGTGGGAGGTGATTGAATTATGGGGCAGGACTTTCCTGTGACGTGCTTGTGATAGTGAATGGGTCCCACAAGATCTGATGGTTTTAAAAACAAGAGTTTCTCTGCAGAAGCTCTCTCTTTGCCTGAAATGGCAAGTGCCATGGAGAATCCTAGAGAAGGATAATGGTCCATTCTACTGTTATCTTTTTTTTGGTTCCTTATCCTTTTCAAATTTGATGAGCCTTTCCTCATAAAAATATATACCCATATTTTCAGGTATAATTTGCATAGACTTCTGTGGACCCCAGGTTTAAAAAACAAAACAAAACAAAAAACCCAGGAGGAAGTCAAATTGTCTCTATTTGCAGACGATATGATGGTATATTTAGAAGACCCCATTGTCTCAGCCCAAAATCTCCTGAAACTGATAAGCAACTTCAGCAAAGTCTCAGGATACAAAGTCAACGTGCAGAAATTACAAGCATTCTATACACAAATAACAGACTTAAAGAGAGCCAAATCAAGAACAAGCTGCCATTCACAATTACTACAAAGAGAGTAAAATACCTAGGAATACAACTAACAAAAGATGTAAAGGACCTCTTCAAGGAGAACTACAAACCACTGCTCAATGAAATAAAAGAGGACACAAACAGATGGAGAAACATTCCATGCTTATTGTTAGGAAGAATCAATATCGTGAAAATGGCCGTACTGCCCAAAATAATTTATAGATTCAATGCTATCCCCATCAAGCTACCTATGACCCTCTTCACAGAACTGGAAAAAACCACCTTAACCTTCATATGGAACCAAAAGAGAGCCCGCATAGCCAAGTCAATACTAAGCACAAAGAACAAAGCTGGAGGCATCACACTACCAGACTTCAAACTATACTACAAGGCTACAGTAATCAAAACAGCATGGTACTGGTACCAAAACAGAGATACAGACCAATGGAACAGAACAGAGGCCTCAGAGGCAATGCCACATATCTACAACTATCTGATCTCTGACAAACCTGATAAAAACAATGGGGAAAGGATTCTCTGTATAATAAATGGTGTTGGAATAACTGGCAAGCCATCTGCAGAAAGCAGAAATTGGACCCCTTTCTGACACCTTACACTAAAATTAACTACAGATGGATTAACAACATAAACATAAGACCTAATACCATAAAAACCCTAGAAGAAAACCTAGGCAAAACCATTCAGGACATAGGCATAGGCAAGGACTTCATGACTAAAACACCAAAAGCATTGGCAACAAAGGCCAAAATAGACAAATGGGATCTAATTAAACTCCAGAGCTTCTGCACAGCAAAAGAAACAATCATAAAGTGAACCGTCAACCAACAGAATGGGGAAAAAAATTTGAAATCTACCCATCTGACAAAGGGCTAATATCCAGAATCTACAAAGAACTAAAACAGATTTACAAGAAAAAAAGAAACAAACCCATTGAAAAGTGGGCAAAAGACATGAACAGACACTTTTAAAAAGAAGACATTTATGAGGCCAACGGACATATGAAAAAATGCTTATCATCACTGGTCATTAGAGAAATGCAAATCAAAACTACATTGAGATACCATCTCACGCCAATTAGAATGGCGATCATTAAAAATCTGGAAACAACAGATGCTGGAGAGGATGTGGAGAAATAGGAACACTTTTACACTGTTGGTGGGAGTTTAAATTAGTTCAACTATTGTGGAAGACTGTGTGGCGATTCCTCAAGGACCTAGAAATAGAAATTCCATTTGACCCAGCAATCCCATTACTGGGTATATATCCAAAGGATTATAAATCATTCTGTTATAAAGACACATGCACACATATGTTCATTGCAGCACTGTTTACAATAGCAAAGACCTGGAACCAACCCAAATGCCCATCAGTGATACACTGGACAAGGAAAATGTGGCACATATACACTATGGAATACTATGCAGCTGCAAAAAACGATGAGTTCGTGTCCTTTGTAGGAACATGGATGAACCTGGAAACCATCATTCTCAGCAAACTGACACAAGAACAGAAAAACAAATGCCGCACGTTCTCACTCATAGGCGGGTGTTGAACAATGAGAACTCATGGACACAGGGAGGGGAGCATCACACACTGGGGTCTATTAGGAGGGAATAGGAGAAGGACAGCGTGGGGGTAGGGAGGTTGGGGAGGGATAACATGGGGAGAAATGCCAGATATAGGTGATGGGGGGATAGAGGCAGCAAACCACATTGGCATGTTTGTACCTATGCAACAGTCCTGCATGTTTTGCACATGTACCCCAGAACCTAAAGTGCAAAAAATTTAAAAATTAAAATATAACCCAGGCTATAGTCTTCTAAAATTTTTAATATAAAAGCAAAATTTTAGCAGATTTGGTACTTCTGTAATTTAGCATGTTCAAAGTTTGTTTTGCTTTTAAGATCCTGTGTTGACCTTTTGAAACTTTCTCTGAAAATTTTAGGATGATTATCTTAAAACATTGCAAACTATCCATAATCTATGTATTACTAATGCAATAATAACTTGATAAGCCAATTCTCTGTCCTAGGAATTTAGGGCCGGAAAGACCCTTTAATAGTCTGAGTTCTTATTTCAAAACACGCTGTGAGTTAAGCTGGAGGAAGGGCCTCTCTTTTACATAATAGCTTCTCTTTTCCTGTCATGTTAAAAAGAAGTTTCTGTATAAGCATCAGTAAAGTGGGGTCTCTTTTGAGCTCATGCAAGAGAACCTATAGCTAGTGCCTGTTCATCGAGTCAAGGACGGAGAAGCCTTTAAAATCTGCTGATGATCCGTAGTATTTTCAACAGACTTCTCTGTTAGATGGTTTATGAGTGCAAACGATGGACACTAAAAGTTGTTTGCTCTTTAGGTGGAGAATTTGTCCAGGAAACCTATTGTTAACACTTGTAATAAGAAAACAGGTGGTGCAGTAATCATCTGAAGTGTATAGAGAGATTTGTTTTCCATTTTAAAGATGAGGCAATTACTATCTAACGCTATCCTAATGGGTTTCTTTTGTGGACTGATTAGGAAAAACAGGCTGGCAAGGCTCAGTGCTTTTCAGTCAGAACAGACTTTAAGCCATCCTCCTGGCGTCAGCCAGGCCAACTGTATGAGGCCACAAAGGTGCACCTGACCTAGGAAGCACAAAGCCCTTAGATTAGTGAAAAAGAGAAATCATCTTAGATAGATCAGTGAAAAAGAGAAACCATCTAAGTGTATTATACATACACATAGATAAATGGCTTGATTTACGGAGAAAAGTCGGAAAAAAACAACCAAAAAATTGCAGAGAGCCTAAGAAATACTAGTCATTTATAAGATTCTATGGTAGTGTTTTACTTTGGAAAAACAGTATAACTAACCTGGTAGAAAACTATTCTTTAAAATAAGTATAATCTGCTTCTTGTGGGTTTTTTGTTTTGTTTTGTTTGTTTTTGTAAGGGCAAATGCCATTCTTTGGGCTTAATGGCTTGATCTTTTTTTCTTCCTGTAGGACCCATGCCCACTTTGTGATGAAGCCAAGGAAGCACTCAAGCCTTATAAACACAGGGTAATATCATACATTGTGGCTTTTATGTATATGGAATGCATATTGGATGTGGTATAAAGTGTCTGCCTGGATCCTTTCTTTAGGAAAAAAGATTAAATGATTTTTCATTTAAATTTTGTTTCTATTCTTCAGAGAGAGAGTTTAGTGCTTATTACCATAAAACTCATTACACCTAAGTGTTTTTCTCTGAGCAGGACTGGTTTTCTTACTCTGGCTCTTAATGAGTCAGAGTTAACTAGCAGGTGCAGTATTCGTGTTTTCTTTAAACTTTTGCCCGCATTCCTTTTGTCTTGTTTTGTAGTTTCCACAGATGTGTTTTCATGTAACACAGCATCACACCTTTCCAGTTCCTAAATCCAAAACATTTCTGTCCTGATTCTCAGTCAGCTTTTCAACTGGGACATGTTTTATTTCATTGGAACTCAGTACTGTCCTGATGCTGAATGTAACAAGGGTAAGAGAGAAGCAGCAAGATCAGGAAGCAGAGAATATAACAAAACCAGTCAAGTTTTGGAAATTAGGGATATTATATCGCTTTGGACCTAAAAGAAACAAACAACTATAAGGAAAATGGCATTAGAAATGGTCTGGGGATCATTTTATCACTGCAGTTGTTCCATCACCCCATGGTCTCTACAGAGCTTTAGTCTGTCTCTGTTTTCAGTTTATTTTACAGGAGGTAAACATCACACTTCCAGAAAACTCTGCCTGGTATGAAAGGTATAAATTTGACATTCCTGTCTTTCACTTGAATGGCCAGTTTCTGATGATGCATCGAGTAAACACCTCAAAACTTGAAAAACAGCTCCTGAAACTTGAGGAGCAAAGTGCCGGAGGCTGACTAATGCCCTCATGATTTTCCACCTGCTCTTCCCATAGGCATCTTCCTAAGGAAATATTTGACCATGGCCTGATACTCCTTTTGTCACTTATACAGAGCCCCAAGGATGTTCTGAACTCAGTGGTGCCAAATAAATGTTGACATTCCTCTTTTGGTTGATGGAAGTATCAGTGTGGGAACTCTTTGCTTATTGGCATTTTATAAAATAAGAGGAGCATATTGGCAGGGAGGGGGATGATGGAGGGAGGGAGAAGTCCATTTGTCTTATTTATGCTTTTCATATTAATAGAGAAGCACTTCATATTCACTGGACAATGCCGTTTATAGGAAGAAGGCTCTGCATTTCTGCTGCTGCCCCGGAGGGCTTAAGTTTTTAATGAAAGAATAAATGCTCTTCCACTCAGTAGATAAAGTGAAATGTGAATTGTTAATAACTGTGCATGGTCAATAAAAAGATGTTGTAAGGAATACATCTGCATGAAGCCTATTCAGTCGGATTTAATAATACCTGTTTAAAATTAGTTCATTTTTGTTGAGTAGAAGAGAATTATTATTCTAGCCAAAGAGGCATCATTTGAGAAAAACAAAAGAAAGACTTAAACCCTTAAAATGTATATTAAAATCTGAATATTCTCTACATAGTCATTGAATTGATTTGTAATATTTGAGGACTGGCTTTGATAGTTATTCAGTTACCATCGATTGAGTTAGTTAAACTTATTTTAAGACAATAGGTTTTTTAAAATCAGATTTCAATATCTTGGAAAAAATTCACTCCTAAATGTGTCATCTAAAGATAAGTACTCTTTGCCATTCTATGTAAAGAGTTAGAAATGTATTTGCATACCCTTATTTATATTTAGTCAGATTCAGCCAGTGTAGAAATGGATTCAGTTGAAAAGAAAACTGCGTTTCCTCTTAAAATCTTACCACTGCAGTTGTATGTATAATGAAATTATTTTTTAAACTATTTGAATGAATTTGGATATTGTGAGTCACTAGATTTTAATTTGATCATTATGATTCACTCTCAGTGTAGAATATTAGAACTAGCTGACCTTAGACATTGTCTACTCCCACTCTCCCATTTTATATATGAGGAGGAATCTGAAATTCAGAGGATATTAGGGACTTAACCCAATGTCACACAGCTAGTCAGCTGTCAGGCCAGGTCTTGCCCCACAGCCCCAGATTTCCAGTGCTCTGCGTACTCGTTGCAGGGGCTATTATCTCACATACAGCATCCCCAAACATTCTGGATCCAACACAAATTTGGAAGCACCTTAAAAAACCTTTTAAGCTGAGTACAGCAGTACATGCCTATAGTCTCAGCTACTTGAAAAGATGAGGCAGAAGAGCACTGGAGTTTGAGTCCAGCCTTGGAAATATAGTGAGATTGTGTGTCTTTAAAAAAAAAAGAAGAAGGAGAAAATAAAATCTTAGCAATTAAATAGCAGTGTTTATAATTTACAAATTTCTGGAACATTCATTTGACATAAATATTGAACCCTGGGGTAGGCAGCATTCTAGGATGACCCCAATGACCCCCACTCTTGGATAATTCCCTGTCCCTTAGAGTATGGGTGGAAATAATCACTGCTGTGATTATGTTACATTATATGTCGGAAGGGAAATTATCTTGGGTGGGCCTGACCTAACTGGGTGAGCCCTTTAAAACCAGAGAATTCTCTCTGGTTAGGTATAAAGAGGAAAGTAGAAAGATGTGCTCTAGCGAGCCTGGAAGAAAACAAGCGTCATATGGATTACCTAGTGGAGCCACATGGCAAAAAACTGGGTAGTCTCTAGGAACCGAGTAGTCCTCGGCCAAAAACTAGGAGGAAGGTGGGGCATCAGTTCTGTAGCTTCAAGAAAATTAATTCTGCCAATAACCAGTGAGCTTAGAAGAGGATCCACAATGATAGATGAGAACTGCAGCCTTGAGCAACATCTTGATTTCAGCTCAGTGAGACTTTAATCCAAGAATGCAGCCACACCAAGCCTAGACTTCTGGTTTACAGAAACTGAGAGACAATAAATGTGTATTGTTTTAAACTGCTAAATGTATGATAATTTGTTACATAGCAGCAGAGAATGAATACAAGTCCTTGCAGCAGTGAAACATAGTAGTAGGTGGTGGGATTATACAAATGAATAAATCATAGTCCTTGTCTTTGAGATACTCACTGTCTGTTAAGGTGCAAGGAGAGACAAGTGAATAAAGCACAGCATAGTGCAGTGAGGGCTGGAAATGACACGTGTAAAATTGTACCAGGTGGGGAAAGTAGCAGAAATGATTCACAGAAACTTAGACTTAAGCTAGGTCTTGATGGCTGAATAGAAGCAATGGATGAGGATTGGGAGTGCGGAGGGTATTCTATAAGGGAACCGTATATGTAAAATATGAGGGTGTGAAAGGACACAGATATTCAGGAAATGGCAGGTGGCTTTGTGTGGCTGGAGTAAAGGGAAGGAGAGTGAAGGAGATGAGACTGGCAAGATATATTTGGATCCACATTGTGAAGGCCTTAGCTAATGTGCATTTGCCCCAGCAGCAGTAGCCTCCCATGCTTTCTGCCTTTATCCATAATCTGTCCTTCTGGCTCCTGATTATTCAGGGATGTCTGGCCTGAGTAGATACCTAGAAACATGGCATCTAAAAAGTGATTTGATTATCCCACTGTTGACAAGTATCAGACTGTTTTATGTCACCTATGACTGTCATTACCCCAGCCTATTGCAGTCCTTCTTCCTGTCCTTAAGCATACTGAGCTAGAGTCCTTTCTAGTAGTCCCGCAGGACATTCCCACTCTCAATACAACTAGGGATGCTATAGACAAGATTCTCCACTGTGTGTCTGGGTGTCCTGTGTTCATTTGTGTCTTCTCCAGGCAGAGTGAGGGTTGTGTAGCCCCTAGGTCCTAGGTTGTTAATCCTTCTCCTGGACCACCAGTTGGAAAGGTTCTCAGAGTTTCTTTCAGTGTCTGCTCAGCTAAGATAGAGAAAATCCATTGTTTCCCTTCAAAAAGCATAGCTGGCCAGAAAGCCTAGACATTTGTTCTTTTGGAGCACTCCTTACCTGAGTATGACCGTGTGGTTGTGGTGTACAGGAAATGCAGAGACTAAAGGTGAAACAGTACTTCAACAACAAATTTCTGACACTAGAATATCAAACATGATATAGGATGTTCGAACCAAAGTATTGGCTAAGGCACTAAGAAACAATAGATGCTACATTTCAAGGAAATGCTAGATCACATGGAGGATTATTAGGGACCTGAAAGAGAGGATCTTTGGAGGAGTTTTTTTTAAAAAGAAGGTGTGTTCTCACTTATTTTCTACCAAAGTGAAAAAAAGGTTGGGAATCGCCTCATATGAAGAGGGAGGGACATAAGTTGGACTCACTGGAAAGCAAATATATGTCCTTGGGTAGGAAGAACATAATGGTCTAACTCTCCTGGGAAATCAGACAAGAGATAGGTTAGCAAACAGCTTTGGCTGTACAGTGAAGGCAGCTGATGCTGTTTCTCTGAGTTTGTCCCAGGGAAGTGTGTGTGTGTGTGTGTGTGTGTGTGTGTGTGTGTGTCCCCTCATGGACCAGATATGAACCAAATGTGAGAGGGGACTGGTATGAGGGCACCTTCGTTGCATGCAGGCCTTAGAAGGGGAGACCCATATGGGAACACTGGGTTCCTAGGGGCTGAGGGGTCTGCTTAAATGGAGAACCCATTTGCCCAAATCAGGGAACTGCAGGCAAGACATCGCCAGTATTGGGTTCAGTCTCCCAAGAACCCACAACAGCCTCTACCAAGTGTGGTCTGCTTTAACTGTTTATCAGGTCCAGAAAGTAGGCCAGTGTACAACTCCACCACTGAAAATAGAACATTCTCACCCCTCTCCACTTCTCTCTTCTCCCATAGCAACCCTAGAAGGATCAAGAAGCTACCAGGAGCAAGGAGAGGAAGACACTCCCCTTCCTAAGCTACCCACCTGTACATGGCTTCTCAGTAGGGAAAAAGTTGCAACTTAACTTTAAACCAAGTTCCAAGTTTTGATTATAGGTCTAAATATAGGTATCCTATATTTAGAGTATTGGTTATATATACTTAATGTTGGTTTTAACCTATAGATCTTCAATAAACTTACTCATCAATTCTTATTTCAGAGAGGAATATGGTCGTGCGACTAGGAATTCTGGAGATCTTCAGCAAACCCATGAGTCCCAACAGTTGGCAAAATGAAAGGTAGATACCTACAAACATGGCATCTAAAAGGTGGTTTGATTATCCCACTATTGACAAGTATTAGACAATGTTATGTCACCTATTACTGCCATTTTCATGTGATGTTTATAGCAGCAATTACTTTTCCTTTCTGAAATTATGTTTCCAAGGATCATTTTTTCTTTTTATGTAAAGATTAATTTTGATATAAGAAGCTCATCATTCACCTCCAAAGTAAAAAGTGATACAACCTTCCTGTTTTTTCCCCTTCAAGCTAATGCTTTAAGAAGGAGTGGAATAAACGCTGAGTTTGGGACTTCATATTGCTGCTCTAGAATAGTTCCTCTTTCTTCCACGTGTCTCCTCATAACATTATGGGCTTACTGAAACACATAGCTCATTGGCCAGTTTATTGCAGGAAACAAGGGTATACTCAGACCAGGGTTTTTAAAATAATCAGCAATCTCATGGGCATCGGACAGTAGGAATCACAATACAGCCAGGCTTCAGAAATACGACTAAAGAACCACCCAAAACTGAAACATCACCCTTCTCACAGTGCCTTGGCTTATTTTTTTCCTGTTCTCTCCTGGTTCACAGCTCCCCTGCTTATACATAGTATTGCTTCCTCATAGCTGCAGCCTGCTTATGCCCATTATTCCTGCTGACCTTCTGTTCAGCAATACAGCAGCCTGAGCCTCTCTGGCTTCTCTATTCTGAAATCCTAAAAGAGGAATTTTACTCAGCTTATATTTTACAACCAGGCACCCACATCCTAAGTTAGCTAACCAAATCTATAGAAGGAGCCACCTTAGAGACAGAAGCCCATCCCTGGGACAATTGGCTGTGGAGGCCAAGATCATGTGGTATGCAAATCACAGTCACTGCCCAGTTGGCAGAGGCTAGAAGCAGGACAGGCAATAACCAGCAACTCTGGCACACCTCCAGAAAGCTTAAGAGTGTGTCATTCTACCATACTAAAGAGAAGTCAGGAGGAACACATTGGTAAGTTCCTTTATATCCTACTCCATAGGAGTAATGAGGACATGAACCAAGGCAATAGGAGTCAGAGATTAACAGCAGATATTTAGGAGTGAGGTTGACAGAACTTCATGACTGATTAGAGGGGTGGGTAGTGATGTGGAAAGGGGAGTAGAGAGAAAGCATAGATTCTGGGATAACTCCTAATTTTCTTGCGTACACTACTGGGTGAATCCTGATACTTTTTATTCCCTGAGACAGAGACTATAAGAGGAAGGAAAAGTTAACTTTTGGTTGTGCTTGGTGGATGGGAAAGATGAGACATGCTGAATTCTCCATGCTGTGGGATACCAAGGTAAAGATTAAAGTTAGAAGTGCAAAACAAAGGTCTGGGGTTAAGGTCTACATGTGAGAGCCCACTGAGTATGGTTGGAACTGTGGCCACCTGGCATATGAGGAGAAAAGCAAGCTATTCCCAAATGCTGGAGAATACTGATCTTGACCCATGGGAATAGAGGAAGTTGCCACTGAAGGAAAATGACAGAGAGGTGGCAGAACTAGGAATGAGAGAAGCTCATCCAGCTTACATTACATGATGCCTTTTGTTGTGATTTGATAGTGGCAGGTATTATTCCAAGCACTGAGGATAAAGCAACAAACAAGATAGCCAGGATTCCTGCTCTCAGAGTCTTGCATTCTAGGGGAGAGACAGACAATAAAGATATCGTATCAATGGAAAAAAATAAAGAGGAGCATTTCCCAATGTAACTGACAGTATCAAATAGCAAGAGAGTTAGGATGAAGACCGAAAAGAAGACATCAGATATGAAAATTTAAAAATCAATGCTGCTATAGGCAGAATAGTCCCCAAAGATATCCAGGTCCTAATTCCTGGAACCTGTTACTTACATGCGTAAAGGACTTCACAGATACAATTAAGGATCTTGAGATGGGAAGATTATCTTGAAGTATCCAGGCAGGTCCTAATGTAGTCAAGGTGTCTGTGTAAGAGGCAGTCAGAGGAGATTTGACTAGGGAAAGGAAGTAGGAGATTCGACAGTGGAAGCAAAAGGCTGGAGTGATACAAGAAAGTGGTCATGAGCCAAGGAATGGGAATGGCCTCCAGAAGGTAAGAGAAGCAAAAGCAAACAGATTCTCCCCTACAGCCTCCTGAAGGAGCAAGTCCTGCTGACACCTTGACTTTATGAAACTGATTTCTGACTTCTGGACTATAGAACTATGAGAGAATAAATCTGTGTTGTTTTAAGCCAAGTTTGTGGTAATTTGTTACAGCAGCAATAGGAAATGAATACAAATGTTGACTTGATCTTATTGAGAACAATTTTGGTGGAGAGGGAAGAGGTAAACTGAAAGAAAATTGCAGTGGGATGATGACCAAAAGGTACAGAAAATACAGCAGAGTATCCATCTTTTAGGAAGTTTTTCTATATCTCATTTGACCCTCTAAGAAAAGACATCCAGAACTAGAGCTAAAGATCAGAGGTAATTTATTAGTTCAGCACCCAAAAATGCCAGGCGGTGTTGGGGCAGTACCAGAATGAGGCAACCATAACCTTCTACCTGTCTTTTGGCTGAATTGTGAGCAGGAGAGACACTGGAGAGTAAACCGTAGCAACCCATCATAGTCCACAGATACGTGCACCAGACCCATGACTCTTGTTCACCACAGAGACAGGATACTTTGATGCAGTGACCCAAAATCCTGCATGTGGAATAGATCTGGTATCTCTCTATCGACACAGAAATCCATGTTGAGCATGGAGGCATAATCAACAGAGAATTGCCTCTTTTGTTCGGTCTTCAGTTTAGGCACTGACGTTTTGTATTTTACCTCCCCTCTCAGGTTCAAAGATGACTACCAAAGCTAAACCTCTGAATTCTAAAGCCTACAAGGATGTAAAGCTTCAGGGAAAAGGGGAAAATATTAATATTAATGTCATACAAAATATGGAGAAGCAGCACATAGGAGAAGTGCCAGCTAATGGATTAGGAGTAATAAGAATTCAGCCATAGGCCTATGCTGAGAGTCATAGGCATCCCTTCCTTATGATGAAATGGTATATTTGAACTGAATTCCTGAAAGAAAACTTTCTACTCTTAGAAATATGGTAGGCCAAATATTAGTTGGGACTTTTATTAATGATTTAAGAACACCAAAAAGTTTAGATGTTACAAGTCAAAGGCAAATTGAGCCCATGGCCTCATTGTGCTACTTAGAATGCACTGTGGCCCAACTCCCCTCAGAAACCCTGATGGCTTTGCTGCAGCATTGCATTGCACGGAAGACCTCAGTGGTGATCCTGAGTCCTTACAAGGTCAAACCATGGCCTGGCCACTAAGGCAAAAGAGAGAGAAACCAAATTTTAGAAAACACTGCCTTAAAAATGAGTTAAAATGTACATTTGCATCATAAAACTAGGTTAACTGCCACCTGAGAAAGTCCTGTATTCAAAAAGACTTAATCCTGGACCCGGTAAGTGAGGCAGTTGCTGTATGTTCTTTGTTATGAATTTAATGCTTCAAAGAGAAAATGGGCATTAATTCATAATCTGGGTAATAAAGAGATGTCAGAAGTTGGGCAAGAACTGCCAGAGGAGCTATGTTTTAGGATTCCACTCCACACTTCATCTTGTGTTTTCTTGTAAAGGTATTCTCAAAATTAGGCCAGTTTTACTCTTTTAAGGCCAGAGGAGATTAAGATATTTAGAAATCATAGATTGTGGAATTTATTACCATTGTGATTGCTGACTTCTAGTATCAGCCTTTTGTTCTGCATGGCATCTCCCATCTTGGAAACTAGCGAGATTCCTGAATTTGGCAGTGATCCTGCTCTGTGACGCATTCTCAAGTTAGGGTTCTTACCAATGTCAGATTTCACTAGGCCAGTAATAAAGGAAAGTTTGAGAGAGCAAAGGATGTCACTAAGTTCACACCTAACACACAAAACAACCTGTCAGCTGGCAGGCACTAGCCAGCACATTCAGGGTGCTCATAGCCTTTCAGTTGGAAAGATAGTCTTTTAAGCCTCCTTACCTTACCAAATAACTTTAGTAGATAAAATTTAGTTATTCCCTCCCACTTTTGTTCTATTCATTTAAAGCAGTGATTTTTTAAAAATTTACGTATATGTGACTACATGGAAAATACATTACTATGTTTCTTGATGTTTTATGACGTGTACACAGTGAGACCACCAGATGCCTTCAAGAGAAATAAAGGACATTGCTGTCATTCTAACTAAATTGTCCAGAGGAGGAAAGAAGAAGAGATGAGTATGAATACTTAGGAAGAGGCATCACTTCGTCATGGGTGCGAAGCCTATAATTATGTGCGATTCCCTACTTAGACTTTTTAGTTATGCTGAACATTGAAAAACACTAAACAATGGGGAGGAGCAAAGAAAAAGGAGGAAATTTAAACATTCAACAGAACATATTCATCTAAATGGAGACATCGCCCCACCATAAGGGGGCAGTTAAGGGTTTGGTAGTCCTGCTCACTGGCTATTGTCAAATCATTTATTTTAACCATGGATTTGGGATTTTTATAAGTCTTCATTATTATTTTGAAGTCAAGAATGATCCCTTCTGCTCACAAAACATCACTTGTCATTATTTTTTTTAATGCTCTGACTGGTTTTGCATATCTGAAAAAGATAAATCTTTAAAACTTGGAAACAAATCTTTTTCCTCCCTGCCAAATCCATGATATGATCCCTTTCTATCACTGACAGCACCATCAGATAAGTGGACGTGCCTTGCTTGGTTAGAAGGATGCCGTTATTTTCAGCAGGAACAAGAATGTAGTTACAGACCCAGCCTAAGCTATGTTTAGGGCACGTTGTTACAGATTCTTTTTGGTTCTGTTCTAGAGGTACCTTCTTAAATTTGACATTGGA